AAACAGATCCCTTCAGATTTCATCCAAATCCACAACCTCAACTCATAACAAAGGGAGAGCTGCCTGAAAGGACACTACAAGCTGATTCAGTGATAACTTTCAGATGAAAACTGCAGACAGACTGGGATAAATTGGATAGCTTTTTCAATGGACAGAATGGTCTCCTGTGCTGACTGGTTCTGCCCCTTTCAATGTGGCTGTTTAACAGGTAACAGGACACTCTGGGATCCTGATAGTTTGCTGGTGTTTCATTGTGGATACGGGAGATTAGTAAAGGATTGGTTTCGAGCAACGGGGACATAGATGAGGCATTCATCAGCCATGTCCCGGGAATAGAAGAGTGTGCTCTTTCAAATCAAGAGATCAGAAAGCAACCAACAGATCAGATCACAGGTCACAATCAGATCCCCCTACTCTACCAGTACCATCAAAGCAGGGGACCAACCCTGGTTCAATGGAGAGTGTAGGAGGACATGCCAGGAGCAGCACCAGGCATACCTGACAATGAGGTATCAACCTGGTGAAGCATTAAAACAGGACTACTTGCTTGCCAAACAGCGAAAGCAGCAAGTGATAGAGCTAAGCGATCCCACATCCAACGGATCAGATCTAAGCTTTGAAGTCCTGCAACATCCAGTCGTGAATGGTGGTGGACGATTAAACAACTCGCTCCATAAATATCCCTATCCTCAATGATGGAAGAGCCCAGTGCAAAAGATAAGGCAGAAGCCTTTGCAACAAGATGATCCATCTCAACCTCCTGCAGTGGTTCCCAGCACCACAGATACCAGTCTTCACCCAAATCAATTCACTTTATGTGATATCAAGAAACGGTTGGAGACACTGGATACTGCAAAAGGCTACAGGCCCTGACAATATTCCGGCAATAGTACTGAAGACTTGTGCTCCAGAACTTGCCGCTCCCTTAGCCAAGCTGTTCCAGTTACAGTTACAACACTGGTATCTACCTGACAATGTGGAAAATTGCCCAAGTATGTCCTGTACACAAAAAGCAGGACAAATCCAACCTGGCCAATTACCGCCCCATCAGTCTATTCTCAATTGTCAGTAAAGTGATGGAAGGTGTCAACAATATATTATCAAGCAGCACCTGCTCAGTGATGCCCAGTTTGGGTTCCGCCAGGGTCACTCAGCTCCTGGTCTCATTACAGCCTTGGTTCAAACATGGACAAAAGAGCTGAATTCCACAGGTGAGGTGAGAGTGACAGCCCTTGATATCAAGGCTGCATTCAACCAAGTGTGGCATCAAGGAGCCCTAGCAAAACTGGAATCAATGGGTATCGCGGACAAACTCTCTGATGGTTAAAGTTACACCTGACTTGTAGGTAGATGGCTGTGGTTGTTGGAGGTCAGTCATCTCAGCTCCAGGGCATATCTGCAGGAATTTCTCAGAGTAGTGTCCTCGGCCCAACCATCTTCAGCTGCTTCATCAAAGACCTTCCCTCCATCATAAGGTCAGAAGTGGGGATGTTCGCTGATGGTTGCACAATGTTCAGCACCATTCGTGACTCCTCAGATACCGAAGCAGTCCATGTTCAAATGCGACAATATCCAGGCTTGGGCTGAGAAGTGGAAAGTTGCATTCGTGCCTCACAAATGCCAGGCTGTGACCATCACCAATAAGAGACAATCCAACCATTGCCTCTAGACATTCAATGATGCTACCATCATTGAATCCCGCACTATCATCATTCTGGGGGTTACCATTGACCAGAAACTCACCACATAAACACAGTGGTTACAAGAGCAGGTCAGAGGCTAGGAACACTGTGGTGAGTAACTCACCGCCTGACTCCCCAAAGCCTGGCCACCATCTACAAGGCACAAGTCAGGAGTGTGATGGAATACTCCCCACTTGCCTGGTTGGGTGCAGCCCCAACAACACTCAAGAAGTTTGACACCATCCAGGACAAAGTAGCCCACTTGATTGGCACTACATCCACAAACATCCACTCCCTCCACCACTGATGCTCAGTAGCAGCAGTGTATACTATCTACAAGATGCACTGCAGAAATTCACCAAAGATCCTCAGACGGCACCTTTCAAACCCACAACCAGTTCCATCTTGAAGGACAAGTGCACCAGATACATGGGAACACCGCCTCATGCAAGTTCTCTTCCACGTCACTCCCCATCCTCACTTGGAAATACATCCCTGTTCCTTCACTGTCGCTGGGTCAAAATCCTGGAATTCCCTCCCTAATAGCATTGTGGGTCAACCCACAGCTGGAGGACTGCAGTGGTTTAAGAAGGCAGCTCACCACCACCTTCTCAAGGGCAACTAGGGATGAGGAAGAAATACTGGCCTGTGACACCCACATCCCATGAGTGAATTAAAAAGAAAACCTCAGATTGAGGCTGCCTAATGACACAGGCAGCTCAAAGGAACAAGAGTCGTTCAATCAGTCGCTCAAATCTATTCCTCCATTAAGTCAGATAACAATTGTCCTGAACGTCAACTCCATTTGTTAAAGTAATTTCATCTCCGTCAGTACACTGTCCAACAGAAAAGATGTGCATTTCACAAAATTAACCAAATCCAACGTAGAACTTCTCAATTATCCACTGTTGAACCATCACTTAAACCATTTACCTGCACCTCTATACCATCCTTCATCTCTGTCCCAGCAACTCATCTGCTGCTGAAACTGTGTTTCACAGCTTTGTTACTTTGAGACTCGATTATTCCAGTGCTCTGCAGGCTGCCCTCCCAAATTGAACCCTGGAGAAACCTGAGGTCACCAAATCTCTGCTGCCTGTTCTTTACCTCGCAGTAAGTCACATTCTTCAGACAGGCTGTGTTTGCTGACCTGCACTGATCTACTAATCTCAGATAATCAGGATCTTGATTTTAAAGTTCTCAGCCTTATTTTCAAAGCCCTCATGATCTCACCCTCTCCCTAACTAACCTCCTCAGTTATCTCTGTGTCCCTCTAATTCTAGTCTTTTGTGCATTTCTGATTTTAATCACTTCCCCACTGGTTCCTCAACTCCTGGCCCTGAAGCTCAGAAATGCCCCTCTGCCTTGCTGTCCTCCTTTAGATAGTCTTTAAAATCCTTGAGTGAGCTTTTAGTCAGCTGCAGTAATATCTCTTTATATGGCTCAATATAATGCTTTAGTTAATAATGCTCCTGTGAAGGTGATTCATTATATTAAAGATGCTATATTTCCATTTCTGAAGAAGGGTCCAGACCCGAAACATCAGCTTTCCTGCTCCTCTGATGCTCCTTGGCCTCCTGTGTTCATCCAGTTCTACACCTTGTTGCCTCAGATTCTCCAGCATCGGCAGTTCCTACTATCTCTACATTCTATACATTGTTTTTGTACATGAATGAGGAGTCTTTTCTGAATTGCTTCTAACATATTAATATTCTTTATTAAGTAAGGAGACTAAAACCGTACACAGTGCTCCAGACCTAGTCTTACCAACACAGCAGCAATATCTCTGTTCCAGTCTCTTGCCGATAAGTTCCACAACATCCTACTTCCCTTGCTAATCACTCTTTGTGCTTGTATACTAACTTTTGATTCAAGTACTGGGACTCCCAGAGCCATCTGTACCTCCAAGCTCTGCAATCTCTCAATTTAAATAAGATGCTGCTTTTCGATTCCAGTTGAATTGGACAAGTTCACATGTTTCCACATTATACATCATCTGCCAAATGTTTGCACCAAACCCTGGATTATCTGTATCCCTGCGCAGGCCCCTTATGTCCTCTTCACAACTTACTTTCCTACCTGCATTTATGTCATCAGTAAATACATTCAGGTCCCTCAAGTAATTGAGATAAACTGTAAATAATTAATGATCCAGTGTTGGTCTCTGAGGCACTTG